AATGATCTCAAACAAAAAATTAGAAACAAAGCAATAGAAGTTTGTATCCATTAAGAATAAAAATAAAGGATCAATAAGTAACTCAGTCCAATGACTTCTTATTTGATGGATGGAAAAGTGATGGTGAACTACAACTGAGCATAAAACACTGACCCTGCTTGTGACTAGATGCTATGCTTTGTATCCAGATAAATCTACTACTGCTGTTGGGTTTATTTTCTTGCTCTCTTTGCACCTGATCTTCACTGTAGTTGGACAAATACCAATTTCTACTTGCACAGTGCTACTGACAGTGTTTTCCAAGGCAGGAAGAACAAATGCTTTCCAGTTGGTGAATACTCTCTTAATGGGATGAGGTTTTCTTTGGGAAGGAAAGCTCTATATTATATTTATTTCTGGTCATAGTTCTTTTTTTTGGGGGGGGGATCTCCAAAAGCCTTGTCAAAATTCATGTTAAGGTTCAGGATGAATTGTAGTGTCGTGGCTCATAAGTCTCACTGCTCAAGTGTGAGAGAGACTGCATTTCCAAAGGTAAGTGAGCCAGACCATTTCACTTTGATGTCACAGGCCTTGAGGATTGCTAAGAGGCTTGATTATAATTAAATTGTCTCTAGGATTTTTGGGATCGTTTTCTGCGATTTTTTAATCAAATAATCATCAGTGGTTACAGCCTTAGAAGGATTCATACCACCGATTTCATCTCACAGATACCATCAATTCCAAATGCATTAAAGTAGCAGTTCATGAGAAAATGAGAGTCAAAATGAACACTTTCATTTTAAAAAATGTCTCCATCACATGAGATACCGTAGTTACCAATGCTGTTGTTTGCAAGGGTGTACACATCTTCCTGTGCATGTAGGTGTACAGAAAGGATTTATGGGAAAGACCTCATTTTGTGTCTGCAGGTAGAGTCAGAACTGTCTGGGGCACACTGAGAATGACTCCAGAGATAACCCACAGTGTAGATGGGTGGCAGTTTAAATTGACACTTGCAATAGATGGTTAGTTATGTACATTATAGCACCTAAGGGGATTTATTAAACCAAGACATGACTCTGATTGTCATCTGAAGGAACAAAGCATCCCAAAGTTCTGATGAAAATTTGGAGTTTGTATGGAAGTTCAGTGTGTATGTTAGAGATATGACTGTCTACAGTGATCAGAAAATGCCCAATTATGTCAAAGTTTGATAGCAAAGCAAGAAGAGGAATTAATCCTTAAGTATATTATGGTACAGAAGGCTTTTGACTTTGTCACATAATCTCTTTTTATCAAACAGTGCTTTCAACATAAATATGAAGGTCTTACAGTAAATAAATATTATTTGCCACCCTTTCATTTCTTACTCCTTGTGACTAAATGTGCTAAACTGATAATGAAGTATATAGAATTATTTATGTATTATGAAGATATACTAACTGGAATTTTGATGAATGTTTCATCTATTATTTTATGTAACAGAATTCTGTAAAATGTGCACAGTTGTGTTTTCCCGGTAAGTGAAATAAATTTCAAATTGCAGTAATATTTGTATCTATGTTATTATGTGACAGACTCATTTAAATGGTTCCAGAGAGAGTTCAGTGGTATTTTCAGGACAGATATTTGAATATCTTGCACAAAAATAAGGGCAGGTTTTTAAAAATGGGTCCAAAAGAGTCATGTCCCTTTGATGGAAATCACTGCCGTAGTAAACAGGGAGCTGGGCCTTTAATCCAGCTTCTATTCTGTGTTACCTTATTACTTCTGCCTGTTTTCAGAAGTTATGTTGGCCTTTTCTAGGTAAATCTGAGTGTCTTCAGTGAAACAAAAATAGGTAATAATTGAGTACTTACTATATGGTCCATACCAGAGAAATGCTGAGAACCAGAGCAAGTAGTGTGAAAGCTATGTCTGTGCTAAGACAATTCAGAAGAAAGAGAAAAACAAGAGCATGGGACATTTTATAAAAGAAGTGTATCTTGAGCTAGGACAGGTAAGATTTCACGTGATAAAAGTCCATGCATGAGAACAACTCAAGGTTAAAAAAAGAAGCAGATAAATGTGCATCCCCAAAAGAGATACTATGATCTGTGTTCTGGGGACCAGGGAGCCATGAAATACAAAGCAGCCTTCACCAGATACATCAGATCACAGGGGACTTCTGAAAATTAGTTTACATTTCTAAACTATTAAGGCTAAATTTTGATGACATTAAATATGGAACATTTGAAAAAAAACTTCAATAATGTGGGTGGCCTGAAAAAACTGAAGAAATTCATTCTGGCACTGTGTCCAAATTACTTTGTAGCAGGAAGATGATGGAGCACAGATAGACTTCCTGGGATATGATTTGGGATAAAACACAGAAATCATTGCAAAGGAGAAAAGTCAGTTGCCAACAGGAATAAAATTATAGGGAAAAGTAAAAGAAAGCTTGAAGCAAAGAAGTACAAGATTTATCCAGAAAAATGGAGGCGAAATTTCTGCTGTACATAGTGAAATCAGAGAGAGGCTCAGGACACAGATAAGGAAACGCTCTCTTGGTTTTCAGCGTGAGGCGATGTGCATTTCCCGGTGTGCAGAAAGCCCTGATGCTCCAGACCTAATAAGAGCACGGGGAGAGGACAGAACTGTAAGTCTGTGTGCATTTCAAAAGGAATAAGATTACATCAGAAGCTATGTATATCTGTCAGTGTTCATTTGAGAAACAGATTTGTTGCAAGATATATGCACACATATGGCTTTAAAAGGTGGACTTACACCCCAGAACCGAAAGATCCCGTCAAGGGTCTAAGGCCGGGAGCTCTGTCATACCCCATGTGAGTTCGTATCAGGGGGGAAGGGGCTGTGCTGGAAGCCAGGAGAAGACATCCACAGTGCGAGTGGACATTGGCGCTCCTCCAAAGAAACAGAAGCGAGCCTTCCTTCTTCATTCCCTTTTATTCCACTCAGGCTCAAGCACATGCGTTGGTGCGACTCACACCAGGATGGGTCTTCTGTCCTCAGTGAATCCCTTCACCACACCCAGAACTGTGGTCTGCCAAGTTAGTTGGGTGTTTCTTACTCCACTTGATGCAATCGGTCACCATGAGGATGAGGTTCTAAGGGGGAAAAGGGCAGAGTGGAAAGAGGAAGCAAGAGAAAGAGGAAGCAAACAGGATGGGAGGAGAGGAGAAGGGAAACTGCGAGCATCAGAGGAAAAGGGAAGAGAAATAGAAGCTATTTCATTAGTATAAGTGTGCAGAGGTAAGAGTCACTGTGTATGCATGTGTGCTAGTGTGTGTGTATGTGTGTGTACATGGGCATGTGTATTTAGGGAAGGTAAGAGCCAACTTTTGCCAAAAACAGTTGTTATATGCCAGGCATTTTCTCTGAACTTTATAGGTAAGTTTGTTCTATCTTTTACCTATGATTAGCTCAAATCTCCGCAACCATCCTAAAAGTAGGATGTTTTTCTTGGTACTGTAAACTTGTTATATATCAACAATAGAGTGAATGAGAGCAACACATTCAAAATGTTTTTGATTTCTGGGCAGGTTAAAAAATAAATCTAAGGATCTAGAATCCTGCCCACTTCTGATTTTACCTCTCACTCTGAAGCTTCTTTCCAGGTGCTGCAGAATATAGGAGGTACTCTTCAAAAGTGTTGCCACAGTGCCCCATACTTCTTTCTAATCCGTTTTCCATTTCTCAGCCAATGATTTGAGATTTAATGTCTGTCTTTCTGACGAAAAAATAAACTTCATTAGTATTTGGGTAATTAGTGTATGCTTCACCCCCAAGCTCAGCACCTTGCTTTGTGTGGTGGGCATAGTAGGCACTTGGGAAGTGTATGTCGAAGGAACCAAAAGGGATCCATTAATAATTTAATACACTGTGATTCCTCCAACAGACGTTGTGTCACTCTATAAGTGCTCCAATAAAGCTCATCATACCTGCAGTTACATAATCATATACCACGTTTCTTGTTCCTAGATAAACTATGAGCTCTCCCAGGCTGAGATTTATGCTAAAACTTTGTGTCACATTTGTGGAATATAATAGGTATGAAATAAATCTCTGAAAGATTGCAAAGGTCTTCAAACTTAATCAAAAAATTTATAGTAAATAGAGATAGAATGGTAACATTGAAAAAATGTTACATTGATAGTAGTCTAGGAAAGAATGAGGGAAGAAAGTAGGGAAAGAAGGAAGGACCTGGAGGAAGAGAAGAAAGAAAGGTGTCTTAATTATTTTTTTCTTTTCTGAGACAAAATATTCAACACCTTAAGTTAAAGGGGAATGTTTATTTTGCTCACAGTTTGTAGAAGTTTCAGTCCATGATTGGCTGGCTGCAAGGCAGGGTAGCACATGGCAGAAGTAACAGTTCACGGCAGCAGAAGACAGCAAAAGCCATGAGAGTGAGGCAAGCCTCTTTCTGTCTCCGACAGTGTATCCAGTCTCCTGGAATTAGGGCAGTGCCAATCCAATCAGTGGACAGATCGAGCAATCACCCACCCTTAATCCCATCACTGCGCTATGAGTCAATCACACACTCTAGATGCAGCTGCCCCCAAAATCCCTGTGACTGCATGAAGGTTTGTGGGGATATCTAGACACAATAACAGAAGGAAGGAAAAAAGGGTGGATTTAGAACGGGTAGAATACTTTAGGATGTAAGAGTCCTGTGGACCAAAGCTGAAAATGAGAGATAAAAAATGATGAGGTTATTTGCCTTTCCCACTGATGCAGTGTTGTTGCTCCAATAATCACTTTTAGAAATTAACCCTGAGTGGGGTAAAGTGTAAAAGGCTGGATATTTTCTCTTTATTCCCCAGGAGGCGATCTGTGAAGAGAACTCCTTTTAGAACCAAGTGTTATGGAAGTGTTTAATCATCTGCCACATATTAGCAAACATCAGGAACATTGTGCATGTTTCCAGAACACATAGCAAAACACAAAGAGCGGCCGAGAAAGCCATTTCACTCCTGCCATTATTGCTCAGCTAATGTGTGACCTTTCCCTCTTCTTCACAGAACCTAAGGTAAGCTGCAAATTAGGCCGGTCTGCGTCTACATCAGGTGTGCCTCCTCCGTCAGTTACTCCTCTCAGGCAAGCCAGTGACCTGCAACAGAGCCAGGTACCATCATCGTTAGCCAGTCGTGATTGACTTCCTGTGGTGCAACATGCCAAATGCTTCCCACCTCTGTCTGTCCTGTGTTGCCGTAGACGACCTTTCGCATTGTTTTTTTGTTCCTATGTGTGTATGGGCAGGGGTGCGTTTTACAGGGATATCTTTCTTCCTTGTGATTGGTGAAACATTCTTTGCTGTTTGTTACCAAATCATTCTTGTCTCTAATTTTCATCGTTCTGTAATATAAATGTAGTAAACATGTACTATATGTATTGGCATAGTAATTATTTCTAAAACTTCTTTCTCTCTTACATGTTTTGTGTACTTTATACTGTCTGAAAATTTATCAGTATTTGATAAATTTATCTGCTTTGTTTTATGTAACTTTCTTTTTAAATGTTTTGTCCACGGTACTTGCGCAGATAATGTCAATGAATCTGTATATATCTTTTAGCTCTTATCCTGTGATACTGTAATATTTATGGCAGTTTACCTTTATTTTTATTTAGCTTGGAGCATGATTGTAAGATACTGTGAATATTAATGTCCTTATAAATATTCATATACCAACTCATTTGGATTGAAGACGGTAGCTAGTCTTTCTTCTTAGGTTATAGAGACAAGCTGACCAGGTAGTCTGGATATTTACCAAAAGCTGTAGATTAATAAGGCAATCTAGAAATAAAGGACTTTTGTCTCTTACACCATCAAAATCAGAATGGCCTCAGAAAGGGAATGTAAGTGTTCATGCATGGTAAATGAGATCTCTATTATCACTTGGAGGAAAGAGGCAAGAAATAAAGTCATAAGCTAAAACATTATTTAATCCTTCACAATACAGTATGTTTCTCTGATGTTCATTTGGGTGCATGATTGTGAATGGAAAATTTAGTGCGAGGAAAGCCACTACACATAAATGTGTTATCTGCAACTCACCCAGTAGGAATTCAGTATGTTGACTTAATTTGTGAAGCTTAATTGTTGTTGCTGTTAAGTATTATGAGTGTTAAATAGGATAATGTCATCTTGAAGTGGCTTTTCTCTGCTTCTCAGCTTTAATCTTGCATTCATGAAACTTCTGAAACAGTAAATTATAAAACTAACGATGGTACCTCTACAGGAACTGGCCAGTACTGATTAGCAAATTACGTATTCATCAATTATTTTAAATGTCAGGCTATTTAAAAAACATAACTAAGCAGAATAATTGCATTTTTATAATGAGAGACAGTGTGCACTAGTGCTCTTTACTGACTTTAGTATGCACAGTATTTGATTTATTAATATGTGAGCTATCTACAAACATAATAGCTTCTCTCAAGTTGTCATTAAGAATTTCCTGTGTCTTAATTTAAACATTTAAATGCCTTGATAACTAAATGTAGCCATCTCAAACACTTTTTGGATATACAAAAGTAGAAACAGGAAGACACTGAATAAATAAAAACGGTCTCACTAAGAGAAACTGCTACCTTATGTGATTAAAGACATTCCAAATATATTGTATTTAATGTATTTATAGTTTTAAAAGCACTGGATACAAAAGTGAGAAAATTCTAGATAATTAATAGAGGATTGCTTTAATACAACCAATTTTCCAAGTACTGTATACGACCCTTGCCATAACATTATCCTAGGACAGGGATGACAAACACCTTAGAGATGAGTGAGGACTTTAACTGCAACCCAGATCCCACTTTTTTTATCACAAAGTGCCAACAATGAAACTAAATCTGGATACTGAGGTTTTAGTTTTTAAAAAAAACAACTCATACATTAGGATCTTCTGTCTGGAAAGAAAAGCAAAATAACATGTGTGCCATAGGTTTGCCACCACTGCCCTGGGATCTCAGAAGGGTTTTATGTGTTTTGTTTTGCTTTTCCTAATTAACTTTAACTATTTCATCTAAAATCCTTCATCTGTCAAGGAAAGCAGGTTTCTAGGGCAAACTTCCAGAACATAGAGACAAAATACGTTCTTTATACTTTCACATACAATTCATTGCTAATCTGGTGGGATTTTTTTCATTCTTCAAAATATAGTGATGTGAGAAAAGCTCTTTATGTGCTGTTGGTCTCCTTACCTAGTGATAGAAATTCTAGCAGTGATGAAAGACAGATCTGTTGAATCAAAGAGTGGATGCTCACTGTCGTCTAGGGTGGGGGCACACAGCGTTACCAGACAATCATTTTGGTCACTTATAAAAATTTTTCCAAAATAAGGAGCCTAAGCAGTTGTTAAAATGCAGAATACCTTATTTTTATTCTTAATTGTTTTATTAGTACGTTTATAGTACATAACGATTACATTCATCCCAGAGAGCTGGTCCATGCACATAACATATTTTAATTCTTTTTACATCCTTTTCTCCTCCTTTTCCTCTCCTTTCCTTGGTCTTTTGGTCCCTTTTCCACATGCAAAAGATCTGTGTCCCCACTTCCAATTACCAGTCTTTTATTTGTTTATACTCTAGTTTTTCATGTGAGAGTAATCATGTGATGTTGTATATCAGATTTAGTTCCACAATTTCTACTTAGGAGATGTATCAATTTCATATTAGGAAATTGTTGGAAAACCATGTGATCTATTTAAAGAAAAGTCATCACCAGCTGCCAGTATGGTTCTAGGAGTGCCTATCCGTTGTGGAGCTCAGCCTTAGGAAAGAGGGGTAGGAAGGGTAGACGTGGCCGACACAGATGCAGGGAGGCGGCCAAAGCGCCTGGCCACCACCAGTCTACAGCCTCAGATCAGTGATCACTGATCATCATCAGAGTCTGTAGACAAAAGAAAGACCTATAGAAATATGTAATGTTATGGCCTGGAACTTCAAGGTACACAAGAGAAAATGTAAGGCGAAGGAAAGAAATGAGTTTCTAAATAGTTAGCACACTTCTTATTCTGAAACTCAGAAGCAAAAATTCTATTCTATTCTTTCTTAATTTCCTCTTACGTGAATTGACTAGACATGGGACACAGGGTCATTTTCATGGAATTCTATTGCAATGCAGACTGATTTTTAAATTTGTCATAATGAAAGTCTTTGGAAATCAAACTGAATTTCTGTGCCTGTCATTAGAAAGTTAATATCTTACTTATGAAAGTAAAACTTATAAAAGCCATCCATTGAACCCAGAGCACGTGCCACTTTCTCATTTTTCCTCTGTAACAGGAGAAAGCCGTATATTAAGAAAAAAGAGACATGGAAGGTGGAGGTAGACAGCCGTGGGGATTCACGGCGTCGCCCTGGGAATGGGGCCAGTGTCTTCCTGCACTGCAGTTGGGGGGAGCAGCAGCTGATACTCATCCCTAGTAAAACCACGCTTCCTTCAGGAATGGAGAGGCCAGGGTGGCTGAGCGTGGTGATGCATGTCTATAATGCCAATCCTCTGGGAGACCGAGGCAGGAGACCTGACATTTGAGCCCAGCCTGGGAAAATTAGTAACTTAGTGAGAGCCTGTCTCAAAAATGTAAAGAGCAGGGAGCGGTGGGGTGGGAGGTGGAGCTCTGTGCAAAGTCCCTGCGTTCAGTCTTTGATACTAACACATTAATAAAATTGAATGAATAAATGAGTGAAAGAATGAATGAATGAATGAGGAGAAGCCAGGATATAGCTCTACAGTGAACTTCAGGTCTCCTTGAAAAATGTTTTTAAGAAATATTTAGACTAGTTTTCCTGGAAATAAAGGAGATGAGAACACATCCTCAGCTACACACATATCCACCGGTCTCACACCCATGCACACACACTCTGAAACACTCACACATCACCATGGCCCAAGCGCTTATAATTGAAACCTCACGTTTTTCCTGAGACATTCATTCTGACTATCTGTAGTCATCTTTGACTTTGAGCAGGGACGTGTACTTTCAATCTGAGAGACCAGGATCTCATTTGAAATCAGTGGCCAAGCCCACCTTCACCTCCTGAGTGGGCGTCTGGTGTCCTATGGGCTCTCTGTGTTGTGACTCAAGTGTCAGGTTAGGGATCCCCAGTTCCCTCTGCATGGCCCCTCAGGATTGTTTATCAGATGCTTATTCCTGTGGACTGCAGGCCCCTGGCCTCTCTCCAAGCTCTGCACATTTCTCTTTTGGGAGGTGACCTGAGCGTAATGATCGCATCCCAGGCCACCTCGGACACACTGGTTCCTTCCCCGCGGACCGTAGCTGTCCACATGGGCATCTGACCCGCATTCTGGGATAATGAGGGAACACACTAGGGTATCTCTCCAGAGATGGATTTGTGTTCAGATTGTGCTTCTGTACATGCTCAAATGTCAACAGGGTTTTCTAAATAATGCTTTAAATAAAGAAAGACAAGTGACTCAAACAAGGATTTGGGATCCATATACATTGACACAAACGTAAAGAGGACCAAGATAGATTCCCTGACAAGGACCAGGCCCAGTTCTGAGTGTTCCTTCCATGGCAGACAGTGTGGCCCATGTAGTGAGTCTTTTTTTGAGTTTCTGAATATCTCCCTTTATAGAGGGCCTTCCCTTCCTATGTAGAGAGTGTTTTCCTCATGCAGTCAGGTTTGGTCCCTGTTCTTGGTCCTTATTTTCTTCAGAGCAATGGTATCATTGACTTGTGAAAGTTCCTGCAGTGCTTTGCCTTAAAACATTGAAAAAATTGTTGTTCTTTGTCAAGTTCATTGTGACTTTTGGGCTTTTTCTTCTTCTCCTCCCCCTACCCCTTGGTTTGAATCGGAGGAAGACTAAAGACAAAGGAAGGGCCAATAGAGTAACGGGCTGGGTATAGAAAGAGGACACAGAAATCTGATTTCATCCACTTAGTGCCTACCCCTTCACCCTAAACCTAACCCCTGAAAGATGTATCCCCATTTAATTCCACTTTCTGCAGGATCAAGTAGAAAGACAAAAATAAAACCTCAGAGATATATGGGACATCTCTGAACTTTCCTCTCGGTTTTGCAGGACATGTAAAACTGTTCTGAAAGTGTAGTTAATAAACAGAACAAGACTTGAAAGCAGAGAAGCTTTAGTCT